TAATAGTAGAGTCAGACCAGATTTTGTATGTGTACCTATTTAGTTTTACATTACATATAATGTTATACATAAAGAACAGGCATTTTGGATTCTTAGTGTATTATGTGATAGAATGCTACCTGGTTATTACAGGTTAGAAAAATTATTTATAATTAATTATATTTCAAATTATGTAATTTGGGTTTGTAAACTATTTTCTCTTCTATAATTTAAAGCACTTCTATGTATGGTGCGATTCTTGACCAAATGATATTCGAGCATTATGTTCAAATGAAGTTGCCATCACTCTATAGCCATTTCCAAAGCGTAGATGTTCAATTAACAGTTGCTTGTTTTCCATGGTTTTTAAGTCTTTACATAAATTCAATACCTCTTACTTACGCCTTTCGAGTACTTGATTGTTTCTTTATGGAAGGTCCCAAAGTCTTATTCCAAATAGGGTAATATATTAATTTAATATTGCCACCATATATTATTATTCAATATTAACCTTTTTTTTTATTTATATTGATGTTGAATCTTATTAGATTAGGCAAGTATCTCTAATAAATTTTAGATTACCTTTAAAGAAGTCCTAAATAGGTCTAATATAAATTTGTTGTAAATACTTTTTTAGCAATTATGAAGGTGAATAAAAAAGAATTAATGGGAATTACTGATGATGGAGCATTTATTCATGTGTTGAAAAATTACTTTGCAACATTGGATAAACCTGCGCATCCAGACAATAAAAACCCCAAAATAAGAGAGATAACTAAATTTAACGAGCTATTGGTTGTTGCTTTTAAAGAATTTGGGAGTATTACAACCGAAAGTTTAATCGAACTTCGAAAAACTCATCAACTTAAAGTTGTCCATAATATTGAAAGTTTTACGAAAAGAAGTGTAATACGAAATCTTCAAAATACTTTAAAATTTTCTAAAGAGGATATCTCCGTTATTTATGATAAATTCTCTACAGCACAATTTTATGGAAAACAAAAAAGTGATTCACGAAATGATTCACGAATGAATGTAAATACATTTTATAGTTTTTTAGGAAGTATTGCCGATTGGGCAAAATTAGAGGACAATGAATTAATTAATGATAATAATACTGTGCTCAGAGATAGTCAAGGACATAGACTTGTCGGTTATAAAATTATCAATAAACTATTTGATTATTTTGATAGATCATCTTCAGGTGGAATTACCCTTCAAGATGCTGTTTTAGGACTTGGTGCAATTAAATTTGGAGATATATTATCACGAATAGAATTATTTTTCAATTTACATGATAGTGATAAAGATGGATACTTATCAAAAGAGGAAATTTTGCAAATGTCTGAAAGCTTTTTATTCGTATTCCGATTTCGAAAAGATGATGAAAGTCTTGGATCTGTTTCAAACTTCACAAAAATTGCATTTAAATCTAGTATCTATTCTTCTTCTGATTCAAATAATAGTGAAGCTCCATTAACGGAAGACGATGATGATACTATATTATCGCTTCCATTATTTCGTGAGGTAATTTTATCAGATGAGTATTTAGTAGATTTTTTCGATACTGGTTTCGCAGCGACATTCCAATTAGTTGAGCCTGTTGAAGAACGACAAAAAGGATTAGGGCGTGAAATATTTAATTCACTAATGTCTGATGGAATGAAATTTGCGAGTCTTTTTGGTAAACGACAGAGTGATCGTCGTAAATCAAATGTTTACCAATCTTCAAGTCCAAAGGGATCGTCTTTGGACGTTAGACAAACAAGTTATTCAAGACGAAATAGTGATCTATGGTCTAGAAGAAGATCAAATTCTCATGAAAATACAGGAATGGTCGTGGTTACTAGAAGTTCGTCGCCGGATTCTTTCATATCAGTTGAGTCTGCAAGATCCACAAGTGGTATTCATAGAAGTTTATCACCTGGATCTTTTCTTTCAACTGAAGACGAAGATGACCGTTTTTCTATACAAGAGACGGAGAGACTTTTGGATGAATTTCAATATGAAAGCGGTAACCTGAATAAATCTTTATATAACGTGATTGTTTTTGCTTATAATATTGTCAAATCATTTTAAATTTTTTTTATTTTCTTAGATGCAAAATCGATTAATGGTAGTATTATGTCAAATAATGAACGTGGTATGTTGGATTTTTTTTTATTGAATATGAATCACATATGAAAGTTTTTTAATTAATATATTTATGATTTTGTTTACGCTTAGATTTAATTGAATTTAATACAAATGAATAGAAAAATACAGTATATAACATTGAATATTAAATAATATTATTTAGGTTTATCGTTTATCGTTTATTATGTAAATTTCTTTGTAATTTAGGTTAAACTAAATTTTGTTTTTATAATATATGATAAAATTAATTAGACAGGATATACTATTAGAATAATTTAGGCGCAGACCTGAATGGAATTCAAATAGATTTAAAATTTTAAATTGATTTGAAAAATTGTTAAATTGGGTTTTATAACATTGTTAAAAAAAATATATATTTGCATATTCTTTTACATATTTATAGCAAATACTATTTAGATAATGCAAATATTGAATGAAAATATAAATATAGTATTCTATTCATTCTACATTTTTTTTTTTTTTTGAGTAATAAAAAAAAGTTCAAAATAGTAAAAATAGTATCTAAAGTGGTTAACTATTTGTAGTTATTATTTTAGACACTCATGCATGAAGATTCATCTCAGTCAAATGCAACCTCAAATATCAAAGTAGCAATTCTACTTTGAGATATAACATACGGTAATGAAATTCCCTTAATATTATGCATACATCGGACCTTCAATTATATTTGTGTGCAGTTAGCCATCTATGGAAAATCTATCATTATAATAGATTTTTCATAGACGGCTAACTGTACACAAAATATAATTGAAATTCCGATTACAGGTTTTCACTTGGCGGCACTTTAGACACTAGGGATGGGCAAATTTGTTACATAATATTTATGTATTCTTATGTATTCTTATGTATTATTATTTAAATTTTTGCTGCAATATGTAATAATGGGA